GAGGAGGAGGAGGAGGAGACTACAGTTAGGAGCAGAGGCTTGCAAGATTACAGCTAGATTTGGGATCCAGCACCCTCCCCACTCCCTGCGCCCACCTCAGTTGCACATGAGTGGGTAGGAGTTACATTTATGTTCAACCAGCATTTTCTTCTGGTTCCAGTTCTTCTCGCTGGGGCCCTCCTTGTTTTCTTCTCTGTGCATGTCTGCTCCATACGAATCATCCTCAACCCAAAGAATGCCCAAGCTGAGATCCAATGCACAGAAAATGCTGTGCTACGTTGGACTAACAGCACGCCATGCAAGGAAGGGCGGAGGGGAACTTGCTAAGCACAAGAAGGGAGGAGGGTTGCAGGGGAAGCCTGTGGCTGCCACGCCATTCTGGTTTCCAAATCACAATTTTAATGATTGGGAAAGGACCATGCTTGTTTCAAAGACTGAGTATGAAATAGCATTGTGTACAAATGATGAACATGAAAATGAATAAACTTTTACTGAAATTTGAAACAGAAGAAGGCGTTAAGGAATGTATGATAAAGGGGGCTAAAAGTTTTGGTTATAATATACAGATGTCATAATGGGAAAATGTGTGGATGAAAGGATGAAAATTTACATCGTGTTATAATCTTCAAGAGAATGGTTATAAAATGAGGTACCGTTGGTCTATGCCACTAGAGAAATTGTCTAAAATGTATAAAGGCGCTTCAAATGTACGTTGGAAATGTGAACAACAAGAAGGGACATTTTATCCTGTTTGGTGGAGATGTAAAAAAGCGAGAAAATTCTGGATTCAGATACATACATTGATTCAGAGGATTTTAAAGATGGAAACATGAAAACCTCTTTTGGACTTTTTGCATGAAACAAACAAAAATATGAACGTATGATTTATGGTTTTGATGATTAGATAGGATAGATTATAGAAAGAAGAGAGTTAGGTTGTAACCACAGAGTAAGAGGTAAATTTATAATTGTACTTATAACTGCTGTAAAGAAGATGGGAAGCTACTTTTTTGTATCTTTTTTTTTTCTTTTTTTCCCTTTCTTGCACTTTTAGTTTTCTCTTTGATTTCTTTCTTTTCATTATCAATGGTAGTCATAGGCTTTTAAAAGCAACAAGGGAATGATAGTTTGGCAGCATTGCCGCTCTCCTTTACAATAACTGCTACATTTTTTTGTAAATGGCCAGACAACATACACAATACAATATATTCCGGAAATGGAGTTGGGGACTAGCAATGCATTTTTTTTTAATGTGGAGTGAAGGCATTTTTGTTTCTCCAAGACCTCCAGGTTACTCAAGGCAGGGCAGTCATTGAAGAATGTTTTTTGCATTCTCCTCCCAATCAGCTAGTCAGAGAGAGCACTGACTGATCATGAGGCTCCCTGCCTGTTCTATGAAATTCAAGATAATCACCCAATGGCTCCAATATGGTTTGGAGGGACAGGGGAATGGAAATAGTGCTATGTGGAAATATACCTCAAATATGATAACTAGTATAATTGTCAGCAGAAAATGGAGGCATCAGATCAAATTATTTAGACAGCAATCCTCTGGCCTCTAGGATAGTGTTAAAATAGTATAGAGAAAGTCAGAAAGTCTGAGTCTGAACGGGGGCGTCTGATGTTAGATGTTCAATGTAATTTTTTTTTACACAATGTATAATTGAGCTTTGGAATTTTCTACCAAGAGATGTGAGTGCTGGTTACCAGCTTGGCTGGCTTCAAAAAAGTGTTGGACCAATTCAGGGAAGTCATGGGGAACAATAGCTGTTAGTTCTGATGGCAGTGTGTCTGTCTCCGAAGGCTACCTGCTGGGAGATTAATGGGCTTTCTTGTGTAATTGGTTGGCTGCTGTGAGAATGGACTGCTGGAGAAGATGGGGCAGCAGTTTGACCCAGCAGGTCAGTGCTTATATCTTCATGTCTTCTTTGCTCCAGTGATGAAATGTATGGTTGTCACCTCTCCCATGTTAGAACTCTAACATTAGGAAAGAGAAAAGGGGGTGGATTATGGTGTGGACACTAGGAGAAACGTTGGATCTGTACACACTAAAGCCCTCCCAGCCTTCAGTCATGTTTGTGTTCTTCAGAAATATTTAGAACAGCCCTGGGGAAAAAAGGCAGGAAGAGTGGTGAACATCATTCACCCTTTCTTTCTGTCCTACCTGGACAAAAGTGGCAACCCCCCAAAATGTCAAAATGTTCAACCTTGAGACATTCTGTCTAGGACAAAAGGATTACCACAACTGATCTGTCTCCTTCTGACACACTGTCTTTTCCTATTCATGAATACGTATTCTGCCTGTCAACTCTTTTCCTTCAATCAGGTTGAAAACTGAAGCATGAGATAGATTTTTCAGCAAAGCCTTGACTTCAATAATCAGAATCCTGAACTTAGACCATCTTACCTACCTTCAAAGAGAAAGGTCTCATTCCAATGTGGATTTAAGTTCTTCCTTTTCACCTTTGTCTCCAGTTTATGCTTTTTATCTGGCAGGAGATAAATTTTGACAAAAGGGTCACTTGTGCCACTGAAATCCTTGGCTGGCAGCTCCTGAGCTTTCAGTATTTTGACAGTCAGAGTAGATTCCTGGAAATTATAGCCAACACTAAATTGGATGCGGCCCAGATTCTCTCGGCTGGAGCTGTCATGTCCCTCATCATCCTCAGATCCAGGGGATAGCTATAGTGCAAGGGAAAATAGAAAGACAATGGTATGGGAAGTTTATCTTCTGTAGCAAGTAATGTTTAAACACAAGAACCCTCAGAGGTGTTTGCTGTGCTAGCTAGTATAGATCTAGGTTAAACATGAGCAATTGATAGGAACACATTTCTCATGGTTTATTACATTTAATAAGGTAATAATAATGTTATGCTTTATATTTTATTACTCCAAGAGAACATTTTCTTTTACAGTCAGCTTCATCCTATTTCTCTTCTAGTCAATGACTCTGAAAAGAGAAGCAAATTCCTGCAGTTCTTTGATTCTGAGAGCTTGAGACATTTCCAAGCTGCCTGATGTCCTTAGGTGAGAAATAACACTTAAAAAACCGAAGTATAAGCAATGTTGGAAGGGAAAGAGCTTTGGGAAATAAATATAGTAAGGAGATACTGTTAACATAAGCTCTATTTAATCACTGACTTAACTGGGAGTGAGCCTCAGGGCCAAGAAAACCAGATTCTACTGAGAACAGTATAACTTGGCTACTCATTAGTAAAGCATGAAGCTGGAAGCTCAGAAACACTTGGTCCCACTGTCACCAACTACTATTCCAACCTCCTTGGTAATTATCTCACTTTCCAGCCTCCATATCATTCATGACTTCACTATAAGCCCCCAGAGGCTGGATCAAGACCAGGAAGGGTTCTCCATTTACCTACAGTGCTTTCCTGTTTCATTTTGTTTATTCGCAAGGGCTTCTATAGAGACTTCTCATTTTTCAGTGGTGCTTGAATTGCCAGGAAAAAATGTGTAGCGTCACTATCTCTCATGACACGCAAACAGATGGTGGTGCTGTTTCTCCTGCTTGTTATTCACTGGTGCAGACAAATAATTTTAGATCTTGGACTTAATGGTTTTAGCCCTTCTTCCATTTGGATGACATTGTGCATTAGTTTCAGTGATGCAAGGAGCTAAGTTTCTCTTTTTCCCTACCTGTTGAGATTTCATGTTCCGCAACTGCTTTTACATTCCCTATAGTTAAAGTATGAATAAATATATAAACCCAGTGATGAATCCTGATCAGAGGAAATATTCTGAACATGTGCAATTTCATATTTAAATTCACTTGAATTATGGTATTATCAGAGATACAACGGAGTTTGCTTCAGCTGCTCTGATTCTAAAAACAGTTAGTTTACAATAAGTACTATTTTCTTGCAGATGGCACTATCTATTCATGTAAAACTAGAAAAGTTAAGATGTACATGCCCAGCTGGTAGTCCCTAAACTACAACTTAACTAAGTTAGGAACATGAATGACATGTGTCTGCTGGCCAGAGTATTGATGCTGCCTTTATTCACTCCTGTTACCACCACCTGCTGTGTGATTATTTGGGGGGTGGGCAGGACAGGAAACCTACAAGGTTTAGGACTTTAGCTCCCAAATCTCTTCTTACCTGCAAGGCTGCTGACTCTGGGCTTGAAAGGCCCATGAGCTTCAGTTCTCTCAACCCGTATTTGCAATTCCTGTTCACATGCTTTCTGTGTTATTGTTAATGTTAATTAAGACATTATTAGTATTTAATTTTTCCATTGCATATAGGTCCCCAGGTAATTTTCTGCACTAAGGAATTATTCCTGCTTTGGTTCTTGTGGAAGAACTTTTCTGTTTCCTGTCCAAGACAGAATGATTCAAATTGTATGGACAAAGTGGGGGTGGGTGGGTGTTAAAGGATTACTACCTGATAAAACATTCTACACTACTCACTACTGAAATTGATTCCACAAAACAAGAGTAGACAATGTCCTGGATACTGTACATTCCTTGACTAATCTGCAACAGCTGAAGCACTATGGTCAATTTTCCCTTAGTATTTTAACTTCTGGATCACACATGAAACATTCCACAATCCATTTTCCTTATACTGATTTCTCCTCTTTATTCCATTTATCCTCACTCTTTTAATAATAAGATTGAAGGTAATTATGTGTTCCCTGTGTTAATTTACTTACATGCATTCTAATTTGGCAACATGAACTCTTCTTTCTAGGGAAGCCAAGGAATCACGTGAGGTACCTTTAAAACTCTAGAAACTGTTTAGCAACACTTCACCCCTCCTCTTTTTTGACTTCAGGTAATGAAGAGGGAGAAAGCCAGTTTAGTGTACCGGTTAAGGCATCAGGCTAAAAATGAGGAGACTGGGAGTTTTAGTTCTGCCTTAGGCACAAAGCCAGCTGGGTGACCAAGGGCCAGTCCCTCTCTCTCAGCCCTAGGAAGCAGGCAAGGGCAAACCACTTCCGAAAAACCTTGCCAAGAAAACTGCAGGGACTAGTTGCCAGGAGCCAACACTGAAAACAAAACAAGGAAGAGGGAAGGAATTTGCAGGGAAGAAAACTCGTTTTTTTACCCTGAAGTTATTTATCCGTACATCCATAAACAGATACTCAGTTGGGAATAGTTAGAGTATTCATGTTAAAACTCACTGGATTCCGCCAGCAGCTCCACTTGCTAAATAAAGCCATTTAAGTTCCTGTATGCTTATGTGCACTTTCAGAAAAGGAACCTGAAATGTTAGCATATCCTCCTGCTTCTCTTATAACTGGAATGCTGTAAGTGGCTTTTGGTGTGTGCTTTGCACTATAAACACGTGACAAAACATGTATGATCTTTTCAACTCAGACATTTCCTGAATTGGTGCATATTATCCTGTGGCATAAAAATGGCAGATACTATTGCTGTATTCTCCCAAAATTCATTTGAGAGAAAAAACAAGCCGATACAATGGTTCTTAGAAATAAAAGGGATGCCAGTATAGGCCCTGCCCAAATTGCAGTGGATCCAAGCTATTTTTATACCTGCTATGTAGGATTCATAGCACTGTGTAATGTAAATTGCAAAAAAGGCCCATACTTTGTACCACTTGGAAAGTTTTATTTAATATCTCTCTGCGAAAGCAGTCATGGTTGGAAGCTAACTGTTATTTCAGTATCTTTATGTCATAGCATAAAGTGGATGATAAAGTGCTTAGCCTGATCCATCCAGATGCCCGTCTCATAGCTCAGGGAACCGAGTTCTGCAAGGGAGAGAATGCTTGGTAGTGAGCCTATAAAACACCCACATCTTCTCAGTATGACAGAGATGCAACAGTTTTTTCAGGAGTGCAACCAAGCCAATAGGGAGCCACTTAAGGACATTCAACTTTATGTCCCATCCACAGGTTCAGATAGCCTTTAGAAGGACAAAATATTAAGGGACATACACAGCACTCTAAAAGAGAATATATCCTGCCAAACTTAAAGAGTCTAAACATTTTTTTTTAAAAAAAGCTCAAGTTGAGGATACCAGGTAATACTCCAGACAGCTTATATATTTGTAGATGCTCCCTCAGCAGCCACAACATTCTCAGTGAACTTCACATAAAACAATCCTGGCAAGAAGTTAAAATTATCTTGTGTAAGTTTGCAACTACCTATGTTACCTATGTACAATACACATACATACTGGGAAGATATGAGTCCCCAGCAGTTATTTATATTATGTTTGTATATAACATTTGGGATGCAGAGCAGTTATGTAGTTCCAATAGACTTTCTCATACAGTTACAAATAGATAAAATGCACCTAAAGGTTGTAATAATACTCTCTGTTGGGTTCATACATTTCATGCCTTCCCCTAAGGTGGAAAACCCTTTCATTTTTTAAAATAGTCTCCACTATTTTAAGTGAAGCTATTCTAGGGGATTATTTGCATTCTGCAGAGTCTTTTCTCCTTTACATTCTCTTAGTGAACTTTTCTGCTATGCATTTTTACCAAATCTTGCTCCTAGGCTCCTTGAGTTATTTCTTTGTGCTTGCTCTAAAGATAATCTCATGAGGAGGTGACAGGACAGAGTTGAACTCTGACATGTCCCACTTAGTAGAAATGAAAAACAGTTTATCTTGGATTTCTTGTCCATGGCTTTGGTTTTATCCAAGGAGCTGTCAGTTAGGATGGGGCCCTGGCTCTGAGCCATATGCTTGCTTCAGGAGTGTTGAGAGGGCCAATTAAATAAATCCTTCCTGAAAGCCTGCCCATCATGCTATCCAAGTCACCTTCTGAAGAACCAATATGCTGTCCCACTCTTAGCCAGCAGAAACTGATGCTAATAAGTAGTTTGTAGCACAGGAGGCCAATCAGCCTGATACTGTAGCAATGAAATGCCATGAGACCTTGGCCATGTGTCAAGTCCTAAAACAAGACAACAGAAGGGGAGAGTGAAACAATACTGGTCTTGCTGGTAGGCAGGCAGGCAGGCAGGCAGGCAGGCAGGCAGGCAGGCAGGCAGGCAGGCAGGCAGTCACTTTTCTGAACTCTAGAATGAGATGAGGCTTGACTATGATTGAAAAGGTATTTATCTGCTTTGTTGGAAGCAACTGCTCATCAACATAACTAGCATTTCTATTTCATTTGGAAATTCAGAGATTCTTGAAGCTACTGGCTTCAACCTTTCAACTGGATTGTACTTGAGTGTCTGACTCCTCCTGCAACCTGGTGTCTGTGATTTTGACGTCAGAACACTTTACCTTGTGGCAGTTGTGGTTCATTTGATGGTGCTGGTGGACTCACACAGCTTTGGACTACAGTTTGGCATTTGGGGAGTTAGTATTCAAGACTTCCTCTCTTTTGTTGCTGCTTTCCTCCCCTCCCATAATGCTTGAAATCTGGGTGAACAGTTTTGGCTTCAAATAATTGACTGACTGTAAATTCCTTGGTATCTACTTTAGCAAGACTCTAAACTGAATCCCAATTTATGTTACTTAACTGCTCATAACCTAACAGCTGAGAACAAGACAATCTTTCAACTAGCAAATAGCTCTTGGGGATCTGAAGTCCTTTCAACTACTGTAGACAACCATGGGTAGGGTTGGCTGAGGAACTGGACAATTCAAACTAGATGGGGGATGCATACTCTTTAGGCCTGAGATGCAAAACAGCACAGAATTTCAGATCCCCAGTGACACAGTCTTCCTCATTACCTTA